GTCGGAAATCCACGAATCAGGGTACAGGAATCATTGACCTAGATTGTTTGATTTAACGAAAACAGATATTTGAGATGCTTGTTTGATTCTTTATGGACATGAACATAGCAATTCCGATAAATACTCAAAATCGTCGACTTCATCCGAGTTTCAGTTAGTAAAAACTGGTTTACTTTCAGCTTATAGAAAGATTCTTTGCAACAGGTAATTTAATTATATTTTTTCGAAAGATAAACTAAAAAAGCGAATGAATGAGAAAATTATGACTATTAATCAGCTGTACAATTTTTTCATTGATAGCGACTCATTCATTTAAAAAAGGATATGTTTTCCACACACTAGTGATATCATTACACAAGACTAAATTTCAAAAGTAAAACACGTTTGTCATCCATTGTTTAAGTATAAATAAATTATTTGTTTGTTTCTTTGTATTAAAATTACAATTCAATGTCGTAAATGGATGAATATTTTGTGTCGAAGTCATATAATGATGATGAAATATAGATGTTCCTAGGTCTTACTCAGATACTATCAATGTCCTTTCTCTCAAAGTAGACCTTCAAGTTTTGACATGCCGTTGAACTGAAACACCCAAACAGATACTCACACCCATGAAGTGTTGTTTTTTAAGCAGTATTGACTATGAAAATACATACATCAGAATATAGAACCATTCGTTTATCTCACATAGAGGTGTTCAGAATGGATTGATTGTTCCCCCTCCAATCTTGACAAATTTTCGTTTTTCTCCAGCAAAGTCTCGACATTTCGTTCATTAATTCCCGAAAAAAACGTTCAATTCTTCTTCAAATTCTTCCAATCGGCTTCTTAAGTCATCGATCTGCTCCAAATCCTGGCAATTTCGTCACATCGTTGATCTGAAAAATGGACATTTTGACAACGCTCAACTTTTTATAGAGCCTCAATAAAACTTTTGCCCATTTTATATTTCTCTTTTCATCTCATCTAGGCGTGAGAAATACAAAAAATTTACTGTTGATGCAATCATAGATTGACCTCTTCGGTTTAAGATTATGCAACATTTGAACAAATCATTAACTGACAGTTTCGGACAGCCACATAACAAAGAGCGAACTAGAAAGAGCACCACTCTACCACCAGAAGAAGAAAAACGTAATAACTATCATCATTATCACGATATTTTATAGGTATCTTTCAAGACCATTGGCAGTAGTGTCCTGAACGGGAGATGACCTCCAATCTTAAGAAATTTTCGATTTTTCTTAGCATAGTTCTAGTGTTTTATTCATGTTTTTGCTTATCAAATCTAAAAAAACTGCTCGACCCTCACCCCTGAATCTATGTCAATTTTAGCAAAAATTTTCCAATCAGTCTTCTGAATCATCGATTATCCATCGACTCTCAGTCCTGGCAACCTCGTGACACCCCTAACCGAAGAGTACTGTCCAATCACGCACGAACCACCAATTAAGCCATTACCGAATCGTCTTTTAATTCTTTTTTTTTTCAAATATCCAGCTCTAGTACAAACATTTCTCAGAACTTATTCTTTGATAGATGTCACTAATGTGTTAAATATGAAATTTTTAAGATCTAAAATGAATTATAAGTTGTTGGAAACGAGAGAGACTAGTTTAGAGAACTTATTAAAGAAAAAATACATTTTTTTGAAGCTTAATTTCAAAAATAAAAAGAGGCTTAAGTGAACAATAAATGGAATGTATCATTTGCGCATCTGTACTAGAGAAAACAAAAACACGGGTACACTTTCGATAATCATAATAAAAACAATCAATAAAGTAATTATTAATATTCATATCGAATGGCAATCTTTGGCTTACAGATAGTCATATCTTTAATTGTTTTTTGTTTTTTAACTAAACTAACTAAATATTATTCATTTGGTCGATGGTTACTTTGTAAAGGTTTATTTCGTTATTGGCCACCAACAAATGAAGAATTTAAACAAGCTATAAAACAACGTTATGCAAAAGAGTCAAATACTAAATCAAAAAAACAATCAAATATATCAAAATCTTATCATAAAACATCAACAATTAATAATAATGATTCATCAAATACAATAGAAGAATTTCCTATTCCAACTGATACATCAGTTGAATTAAAATTAATTCCTATAACACATCATGATGTTATACAAGTTAAATATATTGATGATTTTTTTTCATTAGTTGATTTTATAACAGGTTCAATAGTAATATTTCTATTAACTGAATTATATCTTTATATAATACCAATAATACGTCAAAATAATGAACATTTAAATGAAATAAATTTAAGTTTATTTTGGTGTTTCATATCATTATTACTTGCATTAATAGTATTAACAAAATTTGTACGTGAATATTTAAAAGTTGATGAAGGTATATTATGTATTTTATTTGGTGCTTTATCATTTTTACTTGCATTATGTTTACAATATATAGATGAAAAATTTTTTGATTTTAATTTAAAACACACATATGGAAATCGTACAATAATATATAATGATGATAATGATGAAGAAGTAAATTATATTGATCGTCGTTTTATTTATATTGTTATGTTATTATCATTAATAAATTCTTATCAAACAATAATATTATTTTTTCCAGCATTTCGTTTTGGTCAATTACAATATTTATTTTTAATAAAAGCTAAAAATACAAATAAAAAAACTTTTAAAAATATATTTATATTTATTTTAATAATTATTAATTTTATATTACCAATATTTACATGTTTATTATGGTTTAAACCAATAATACAACATATTAATATGAATTATTTAATACAATTAAAAATGTTATCAATATTTACATGTATTTTATTACGTATTTGTTTATTTAAATTTTATATACAAATATATCTTGATACAGCATTTGATCGTGTTAAAATTTTATATGATCAACAACAATTAACAACAACACGTATAACTAATCTATCATATCAACGTAATGTAACATCAATATTTTTTTATCTTGGTGTTGTTACATCACAATATATATTACCAGCATTTATTGAATTAATTATTTGTTTTTATTTTAAAAATTTTTCATATAAAAATTCAAATTTATCTATTAATTCATTAGCACCACCAAAATGGTTACAAAATTTTGATAATTATATGATGAATACAACAAATACAAATTCATCATTAATATTAACATGGAATGACTTACATACATTTTTTAATAATCAACATATTTCTGTACTTCTTTCATATCTATTATTTTGGCATCATACAATATTTTGTTTAATTAGTTGTGGTTCATTACTTTATAATACTTATATACAACGTGAACAACATGTTAATATTAAAAACGATTAAATCATATCTTATCGTGCTATGTACTCTGTTGTTTATTTCTCAGGAATAATTTTAACTTGTTTTCTCTCTCTCTCTCTTTCCTTTTTCTAAAAAGATTATTCATATTTTAAATATCAGTTTTGTATTTCCCATTAGGACAATTTTCATTTTGTTTTAGATTTTTGAAAATTTTCGTTGGTTTTATTACTTAATCAATATGATGGTTATAAATTCAACTAGTGTGGAAAGTGATGTACGACGTCAATATAATAGACGAGTACTTTTTTGCATTCGAATAAGGTAAGGTTAATGATAATATGAGTACTAAATATTGTTATAGAGATTTATGATGTCTAATTAAATGATATATGTGATATTTAGAAAGAGGAATAGGTTTTTATCTGAAAGAAGATATGTAAGGTCAATGAATCTATTATGTTAAATAATTTTGAAAACGCTCTAACGAAGGAAAACTTTCAATTGATAAATTTCTTTTGAGTTGACATTATATAGATCCAAATAAGGTTTGAAGACTCTGAAACGAGTTTATACCCTTAGGTTATTGCTGCAGAGATACTGAATTTTTATGGTATTTTTTAAACGAACGTCGTAGTCTCTCCCAGCAACATCGGCAAAACTGATTTTCAACTTGAAACTTTGCATTGAGATTTTAAATTAAAAACTAGGTATCCTGATGGAGGCTACGGCATTTATTTTTAATATGCCATAAAGGTATCGTATGCCCATAGAAGTTAGCTAAGGATATTCATAGCTCATTTAGTTCTACAGAATCTTGTTTCAAAAGCAATTTATTAGCTGAAAGACTACCGTCGTAAGTAACTTTTTTTGGAGTATTTAATATTTTGACGAAGAATTTCAGTAGAATGGTAATAAATTCGAAAGAAAGGATGATTTTCTCGGTAAATTTTCTTACCTCCTACGAGTTAAACGATAAGAACTAATAGTTTTTGTCTTTTGAAAGGTTGCGAAATTTATTCATGATTTTTAACTTGATTCATAAATCAAATAAAGACGTGAATGTAGTAACGAGAAGGATTAAAAAATTTTTTGTATTACTTTGTGAAGACATTGAGTTAATCCTATATAATTAATTGAATATCATGCTTCTGAAGGATAATACGTCAGAAGAAGAAGAAGATACCCCGCAAGTCGATTACGACTCTCAATGTACGATGATGTCAAGGCAGTTTTGATACACGCCTACATTTTTCGTATAGCTGGCAAAATTCTGAAGTGACTACTCATCTTCTTAGTTGTCACCAGACTATAGCTCTGGATAAAAAGCCGATCGGACGCAGAGTTTTTCTTGGTCATTAAGCACTTTACACATACTGACTATCAACATACCGACCATCTTAAGAAAACATCTTGTGAGGATAAATTGGAGCAGAAAAAAATATATACTACAATGTAATAAGTATGCGAATAAATGGATGATCTGAAGCAATAGCCGTAAATGCCTTGCTCAAAGTTTGTTCGTAACTAGATGATGTCGAGATTCGAACATCATATTCTCTAATAATAAACAAAACCAAAATGATCATTAGGAAATTATGATAAAGAAAACTGTTTTCATTTATTTTCTGTTCTAATGATATGCTTTTAATTATGTAGAGGAGCTGCATTACTTATTGGTTTATGGGATTTATTCATTCATTCGGCAGTACTGTGTGCGTTGATATTGATGTTTCGTCAACCACCAAAACTGATGAACGATATGATATCGACAAACAATCAATATCCTGATCCACACGACACACCAATATTGGAACCATACTTTAAAGAATCATCAAATGTGATGATGCATAATAAAAATTTTATTTCAAGTAATGTTCTGTTAAATCGAATTCTCAAAAAACATAATGTTAGTCATATGCCTACAGAATTAAATACTCGAAATTTTTATTCAAATTTGGATTTCATGACAATTAAATGGGCAGCATCACTTAATCAACGTACGTTAATATTATTTTCTTGAATATAAATAATTTTCTTCTTATCGAATAACTATTTAGAAGACAAATGTCTCGTATTGTTCATCGTTTTTTCAGCAACAATTCTTATATTAGCACATATATGTGGTATTTTAACTGTAAGTTGATTATCTTTGTCATTCTTATTATAATCATACAGATGTTTTTATGGAACACGATCTAAAAGGAATGTTGAAGTATAGAGGTAGAAATTTGAATTCCCCATTCAAATGTGACAGGCAAGACCACTAGTGACCAGAAGTGGTCAACATTGGGGGTAGTGTCACTATTTTTCGCAAAGGAAAAACATCCTTATTCTTGCAAAATGCAAAAGAAGAATTTTAGTTCTTTTGGAAAGACAAAAATTTTCCACGACTGAGGATGTTACCCTCCAATTCCCGAGTAACAGACTGTGAACGACGTTATTGATATACAATCACAACTTGAATATCAATAACATCTCGTATTAATATATGAACTATTTTGTTATTACATTTCTGGAGGATTAAGTAAAAGGATGGTGAAGAAATGTGTCCGAAAATAGATAGAATAAAACAATGTTTCTGTGATTAGCAACAGGAACTACTTGGTGCTTCCTATTTTAATCTCACAATGGTTGTGCTAACAAATTTTTGTTACATTTGTAGAACAAAGCATCATATATAGTTCCATACTTTTTAATCAAAGTATTTAATGTTATTGTTTCAATTTTATCAATGGTTGGTTTTTACGCGTATATGTCCGATATTAAAACTTGGCTTCGCATGCAACCAGAATTTCCATTTAAACAAAATTTACTTGAGCTCGATGCTCAAACACTTCAACTTGTTGTATTTGCTTTTCTTCTTTTTATTATTTTGGCTAAAGTACGTTTGTTTGAATTTTAATATTATCATTTTAAAAATATACATATGATTTTTTCAAGCTTTATATTGCTGCTATCATATGGTACTGTTATGGTTACATAACAGCATTGACAATGGCTCGAACTATTGGAGCAATTTCAACTCCTACAGAAGAATCACAAGCACTTATGGGAGACGTAAAATTTCATATTTTTTATTTTTTTCGTCAAATATTAATTTCGTTCTCTTTCTTATTACAGATGTATTCACCACCCAAATATGAAGAGGCTATTAAATCAAATTATGATGAGGAAGACAATTATTCACCTCCTCCTTATACACCATTACTTCATTCATCGACGTAAAAAAAAAACTCAAAGCCATTAAATTTTGAAAGAACGACTCTTATTCAATTTTTCTATTTTCGTTCTTAAAGATCTGAATTGTTTATTTCTTTTTTTATTTTTTGCCTATTTATTAATTTTTTCAAAAAGATGCTTATATTTACAAATATTTATCTATACTAACAAAATGCTTAAACTGATTAACCCATATACAAGAAAAAAAAGAGATTCCCTTCAATTAATCATGCACATTGATCTCATTGTCATTTTGTTTGCATTGATTTGATACGGTAGACTATGAGGATGAGTAACTACAAAAACATAATCAAAAAATTGATCAGAACGTCATGTTGTATACACATTTTTAAATACACCACTATTTTATGTTGTTTCGAGCGGATAACAAAGAAAAGATCAGTCAATATCTCATTGGCTTTTAATAACTTAAGTCTTAAATACATAATACAAAAAGAAAAAGGAACGACTATATAAATTGATGGCAAGTCACATATTTATCATTAAGGAAAAAAAGTGCAAAATAATGTTCTTGTCAATTTTTTTATTCTGTGTTCTTGTAACGATCACAATATCATTAACGCCTGTGCCTGGTACTATTCATGTTCAATTATTGCCCGATAATCAAGTAGCAGAAGGAGTATATAGACCATCACAAATTGTTCATTATTCAATTCGATTTGAACATGTACCTATCAATGATGATGTTGTTATTGGTGTAGAAATTCGTGGTAGCAATCCAGCAGGTGGACCTCGTGGTTATATATTAATGGCACGTAATGTAACTTCAATTAAAGAATTCATAGAAATAACAAATAATCATCTTCAATATAAATTAATACCAAATGAAATTTTTGCTGGTTATACTTGGTTTTTCCGACCATTTGTTTCTTTTACAAATGAATCAATGGGTTCAACAAATATGATGAACGCAGGTGCATCTGAAGCGTTTTATGTTCTTAAAAAATAAATAACATATAATTAATTTCAAAATTTATTTCTCTTTTTTTCTCTGATGTGTACGGAAAAAGAACTAATTATAATAAAATAAATATTATTAATAAAAATGCGCTAATCAAAAAAAAATAATTTCTTCTTTTCATTTTTTTTTCTTTATACAGCGGTAAGGATAGAGGATGATGATGCACTAGGTCCATTGTTAGCATCGAGGATTGACATTGTTCCAATTGTAGATGGAATAGAAAGAATTGATACTGTTATGAAATGAGAAGATTCAGTTGTTGATTTTGGCTGTTTTACAGGTTTTAAATTAGTTGTTATTGATGGTTGTTGAAGTCTTGATAATAAACAAGCTCGTTGATATTGACGATTAAGTGAGAAATGATTTGGTAATTTAACATCTAAATAATATAATTAATATAAAATTCTTCATTAATTAGTTAGAGTGACATTTGTTTTGTTTTCGTTTCAAAGGCAAAAGATCAAATACACACGAAAAACAATGTGTAAGTTATTGTAAGAGTGAATTAGTCAATAGGAAGAGGAGAAGAGAAAAAAGTTTCAAATACAATAATTGTTTTTTTTTTTTTTCGTAAACTTGCCTTTGCCTGTAAATAGGAAATCAGAAACATTTATCTTGGAAACTCCGTTTGTTTTGCAGCTGTTGCCTAGATGGAAATACAAAAACATCAAGATTTTCTTTGTTCTTTCATTTCGTTTTAAGAAAAACATCAGACTGTCATGCATAATAAAGTTTCATGCAGAAAAATAACGTGCATAATAGTGCATTAGGAGAAAAACCAAACATTCGATAGTGTATAGCGTGTACCCTGGGCGCGTCGTTATTTGTGCAACAAGTCGATAAATAGCCAGTGTACGACTACGAAATACTGGAAATACGAACAAAAAAAACAATATATCGCATTAGTTTGTTTATGTTTTATATATATTTTTTTGTTATATCTTTCTTTTTTTATAAAAAAAATGCGATAGTGTATGAAAAATACGTGTGCAAATGAAAAAGAGAAAAATTATTGATGAGCAGTCGTTTGTGAATTCGAAATCATCAAAGAAAAAAGTAATTCATCATCACGAAATGATAATCGATTCTTTCGACTATTGATAAGTAATCTTTGTTTTATTATTCGATTGATATGTTGTGAACGAATTGGTAATGTTGGCAATCGAGTTATATCGAACGATGCTATTAGATCTTTAGGAAATAGGAATTAATTTTTTGTATGTAAAAGATTTTAAGAAAAGAAAAATGATTTTATATAGAAAAGAAAGAAAGAAAAAAAACAGGAGAAAAAGAATTTTTTCTTACCTTTTGGTGATGGAAGACCACTATTAACTTTTGATCGACTTAATTGACGGACAGGGAGATAATCAACAGAGAGACGATTTGAACTGATTTTCAATTGTTTTTGTCGTATATCAGATTGTTGGTTTTGATTTAATTTATTATTATTGTTATTATTAGAAATTGAACGATATTGAAATAGAAAGTTATCACTTGTTGCAAGTTTTTCAAGTGGAGAATCCGATGAAGGAATAACTTCTATACGAGTTAATGCTGGTTGTGTCATTTCACGACGAAGTTTAAGCGAAATGGGAGTATTAGAATTAGAATTTTTTGAAAAAAGCGATTGATGTGTTGTAGCGAGAGCACTAGCTGAATGTGGAAGAATGGGACGATTTTCTGCAGGTGACGCCGATAATGATGATGATGACATAGATGATGAGCTCGTGTGTGGAGGTGCAGAAACATGTGTATTAATTGTATTATTATTATTATTATTATTTTGTGTTTCAACTATAGTCATCGGATTATTATTTGATGTTCGACCAGTTTTACAAGTTTTGCCTATATTTATTATTATATCATCAAATGAACAAAAACTTGTTTACTATTTTAAGTTTTACCTTCAACACGAAGATCAATTCCAACATAGATTGGAACAGGTACAGGTGTTCCCTTATGAATTAATTCAAATCGACCTGTGTCAGCTGTTCGATTGTATCTTCGATCAATCATTACTACACATATATATAAAACATTGCAATTTGATTCGTAGTTTGTTTCTTTTTTTTTTAATAATTTTGATATAATTACCTTTACAAGTATCTTCGAGAACACCATCACACATTTCCGTTGTTACGACAGTACTTCGAGCCATTGTTGGACTACAATTTATTTCAATAAGCCAAGGCTTAAGATCTTCGCCGAGCATAAAATCAGCACCAAATAATTCAAATGAATTCTATTAAAAGAAAAGTATTAACTAGCTCTTAAAAATAATTAGAAAAAACGAGGTATACTTTTCTTGGATCAATAGTATCTTGTGCAACAAGCATTGAACATATAATCGCATCTTTCATTGCTGGATAAATTAATTTATCCCAACGATCAGCTAAACGATTTGGTCGAAGATATTTATCACTAAATTCTTTATTCGTCCACATATTTTCAGCTAATGAAGCAATAGAAACAAGAAAAATAAATATAATCAAAAACAAAAAAAAACCGACGTATTGGTCTTCTATTTACCTGGTAAGTCAATATGTCGATTGGAATTATTTTTATAATGTTTTTGTATTGAGTAATTACATAGATGTACACTTTGTTGCCGTGTTTCTAAACTAAAATGTTCTGTACAAAAACGCAAATAGCAATCTTTAAACATCCATATTGTTAATGGATTCCAATCAGTTACTAAAAACCATTGACGTATATCAAATTTTGTATTATGAATAAGTAATGGTCTTTCAATATATTTTTGTACAACAAATTTTCCATCTTTTGTTAATGTTGATGAACATAATTTTAATATATCTTCGAGACGATCGTAAACAACAATGCCTAAATAAATATCAAAATATTTCATTATGCTTAGAAATAATTTGAAAAGAAAAACCTCGTCCTCTTGATTTAGCACCAGGTTTAAGAATCCAAATATTTCTTGTACCATCAATATGATATTGTGGACAATGATGCACAACATTTTTCAAACATGCATCAATTTTATTCAAATACATTTCCATACCTTCAATTTCAGCATTTGAACTTCAAAAGAAAAAAAAAAGAAAAGAAATCAAGTTTTAGACGAAAAAAATTCTATATTTGAATTCTTACTGTGAAGCAGCATAGAATTGTTCAATAAATTGTGTCCATTGTTCATCTGATGGATCTAGTTGTAAATTTGCATTTATATCAATATCTTCATGGTCACGTGATAATGTATAATGATTAACTTTATTTAAAGCAAATTCAATAAAAGATAGAGGCACTTTTTTTGTTAAAGATGTTTTTCCGTTAAAACTTTTTGATGATAATTGACCTGGAGGCATAGTTAATGATCTTGTTAATTGTGGTTGTTCTTCAATAGTTGTTAATGGACTTTTAGGATCAGTTGGATCATCTGAGCTCATAGCTAGAATTGAGTTCATGTCTGGTTCAATAATTCCTTTACATCGATTTTGAATAAGTTTAAGAAAACTAATACATGCAGTTAGACGATAGTCATCTTTATAGAAGAAAAAAAGACATTAGAAAGAATATAAAATAAAAAATTTACCTATAAAAGCAACTTTATCATCTTCTTGAGATACTTTATAACATCGAGGATAAAATTCATCAGCGCAGCCCGAATGAAACCATTGTAAATTACGAAGACTACTGCATAGACCAACCTAAAGAAAAAAAACTGCATGTGTGATATTTCTTCCTCTATAATTATATTAAATTAAGAAAATGAAACCTTCGTCGTAAAACAACCATTTCTTGAATAATGATTAACCATTTGATCTTTGTTTAATGTACTTGTGTCATATGTAGCTCGAACACTCCATATAAAATTTGGTGCAGCTGTTCTTACAAGACGTGATAAAAGCCCATAGTAACCATCATTTTCTTCCCAGGGTGGAATTTTATCGTCATCTTCATACGATGGATGTTCGTCTATTAAACAACAATAATTATCTAATCCTTTTTTTTTCTTTTGAGAATTATTTACAAACCAAGGTCATCATCATCATTGTTATCATCATCATTATTATCACCATCATCATCATCATCATCACTTTTATTATTTTTCTTATCGGATTTTTTATTTCCATGAACGGATGGTAATGTAGAACCACGATAGAATTTTTCGACCCAACCGCGACTATATACACAAAAAAACAGAAGATAATTATATTTGAAATATTAAAAATAAAATTTAACTAACCGTCGTAAAGATTCTCGAAGTGCTGGATATGGTCCAATTATTGTGAATATTTTATGTTCCTAAATAAAGCAAAAAAGAAAAGCAAATCAAGTTATTATTGTCATTATAACTTTTTATTTTCTTCGGCTCATACTTTCATTGCTCGTTCGGCTTCATCTCTTGCCAATTTAAGTCTTTCGGTATTGATTGTATCATTTGATATTGAACGTTTTGGTGATGAATCTGCTTGACGTGTAACTTTCGGTGGTGATTTCGAGCGATTCGATGGTGACATTCAGATGAATATTTTTTATAAGTACTGAAATTGAAATTGACTTTTGTGATGAAGTTACACCAATTGATGGTCGTGAGGGGGATGCTGCTGCTAATGTAGTTGATTGTGTGATTTTTAATCTTAAGGGTGTTCGATATGGATAAATCAATTATGACAGCTGCACATTAGATTGATGGGCTTCTGCAAAGAAAAAGAAAAAGAAAAGGGCGTTAATTGAGAAACTAAAATTATTTGTTGTTTTTGATACATTTCAGTAGAACATATATAATCATAATACTGAATAGAATAGTGAAAGTATTATGGAGCAGTAATAAACTCATTTCCGGTAAAATGCAAATAACTTTTCTTTTCTTTTCCTTATCTTGCGGGAACGACGTTTATGTCTACAATGATCATGTATAAGACACGAAGACAGGCAAATAAAAAGAAAAAAACATTCTAGTCTTTGAAGCAGTAGGCATGTATAGAAGAAAAAAAAGAGAAGTTATTAATATTTCATCTTACACTTTCAAGAAAAAAGAAAAAAAAAGAAAGTGTGTTGTCATACACACACATACTTATATGCAACAATGATGTACAGACAAACAACCGTATTACGTAGTTATAGGTTGTGATTGTTTACTTGATGTTTTACATAGATGTTTTTCATTAGTGTTTGCTAATCAAACTTACATTGATACACATACTACACACTGAGAAATTAGTGACAATTTCATAGAATTCATCAACTATAAACTGTGAAAACATTAAAATCGAAAACATACTGTTTTCAAGTTGATAAAGTTTTTTCGACTATTCCGATTTCACCAGACAATGCTGATTTAACTGTTGTTGATTTACTATTTATCTGTATGCTTGACAATGTTTATGGTATTTGAGATAATTCTATGCGATAATACTATTGTCAATGATCAATAGCAACTATTCTTTTCTATAAATATGAAGTGATTTCTTTTTTGTTATTCTAATATCTCTTTTTAGTTTTTTTTCTTTCATAGACACTCACAATCTCTTGAAGTCGTTGTACATGTTTAAAGTGTCGTTCATAAAAATAAGATCAAAGATTCTGAGTTATTTGATCACTTTTTTTCATTCAGTTTGGATTTGTATGAAAATAAATAAGGATCAAGTATTGAAGATGAATCACGACGAGTTGTTACAGTTACCATTTCTTTCTTCGATATTTTTTTTATTTTATTTTAAGTGTACCGGAGAAAAAAAGGTTATATTGACTGCATCAATGAGCGCTTAGACGTGTTTTTTTGTTTGTTTAGCAGTCAATTCTGCTATAGAGCAAAGCTATTGTTCTACCTCTTTCGCTTTTTTTTCTCTGCTTCCCCCTTCCCTTGATTTTTAAGATTAGCTATATGTAATGTATGCAAGTGTGCAAAAGCGTGTGTGTGACGTCCGTTTATTTCACTTTTTTTTCTTCGCAAACAGTGTAAAAGAGCTCTCTACAAAAGAATAGAAGAGAAATGTGGAAGTTTTCATGTCAGATGAAGTATCATGGCAACGCCTCCTCCTTCCCAATAACATGAATTGGTCTTACCTTTTCTATATCAAGTATAAAAATTCGAACTATGAGCAAGATTTTTTATGTCATCCATGGCAAAAGCACCTTTTGAAAATACTTTAAAATCAGATAATTCTCAAGCTACAAATACGATTTAATTATGATATGATGTTCGCTAAGACTTTAATCATAATGATATTTCATAAAGGAATTTTGGATTATTCCATAGAATACACAGATTTTGTTGATTAAATAATACTTAGACCTATAAATCATAAAGGGTTGACTATGAACAAGAAATGTATGTGTCTTTGTGAACTTCGAATATACTAACAAAAGTCATTTCATATTTATAATTGTTTTATTATCCTTTTTTATGAGAAAGTATTAAACAACGATTGAAGACAACATTCGTATTGATATTTCAAGATAAAAATAAAAAAAGAAAGATTTCTATTTTTTTTATGAGCTTGTAAGAAATATGAAGGCAGTCATTTTTCTTTATAATCTGGTGGTACTATTGAATTGACTAGTTGATAGTCAGAAGTATTATGCATGTAGTTGTGACTTTGGTTGGTAAACTAATAAGGATATCTGTTCATTAACGACGTTTTTGTTAAGTTGCACTCTTTACAAGAAGTTGGAAATCAATATTGTTTTATGATAAGTCCTTAAAATGATGATGGTGAGCAAGATGAACTTGAATCCGTCGAAGCAACTATTTTCCAAGATTTCCATCTTGTTCAAGCTGTCGCAACGATTTCTTTGTCAGATGCAGAATGACTTTCAACGAAAATTAGTTTCATTAGTTATGCTTGTGTTTGGAATGGCTGTCATGACATTTTACTTGCAGAACATTTACCAAAATCATTTCATATAAAAATAAATCGAACAATATTAAACTCAGAATTAATAAATGAACAACTATCAACTCAAAATTATGATTCATTTAGTAAATGTATTAGCTAATGATATAACTGCAATTTCATCTGAAAAAGTATCATGTACAGATGGTATTTCTTTAACTGATGAAATACATATTTGTATAATAACACCAACAAATCTATTGGAAATTAACGAACTAGATATAACATGTACAAAAGATTATTGCAACTGAATTAAAATTGTACAATATTTTAAATCAAAAACTCAAACAACAATTAATTTGCATCCATATTTTTGATCATTTCGATTGGATGATACTATCAAAATGACAGGAATATCAATCTCCGTGTTAACAACAAATTGAGAGTCGATTTCTACAACATCATCAAGAAAAACCATTTAAGGATCACAATCCATAAGATCATATGCTATTGACTGTTTAACTGTGATTTTTGTTCTAATCATTACTGCTTTAATCATATCAAATATATTGTTTACCATTCATTATTAAATTTCAAATGCTTATGTAATGCAAAAAAAGGTTCTTTCGTATATTTTAGTATTTCGATCAAAATATTGCTTTAAAAATAAAAACTCTACTTATGCAATCTGAATTCTACTTGTAGTTTATTTCTGTATGTATTTCTATATGTTCATTTTTGCAATGAATAAACAACTATATAGCTCATAAAAAGAAAATTGTAAAGTCCCATAGATGATGAACATGAAATGAAAAACCAATAGAATAAAATGAGAGAAAAGAAAAAATTCATCATATATATGAGTGAAAAGAAAAAAAAACCATATTGAAGCTTCATCATAAAGAGAACGAAAACAGCAAAAGTGGAGCATAGTACAGAAAAAACTGATGAAAGCATCCAAAAAAATGCAGTAGGTTACACTATTTCACTGTTATTTTTTGTTTTCGTATTTAATTTCTTTTCATCGTTTGATTACCGATGACTCGTATATGCTTTCTGAAGTTAATCATCGATTGAAACTAATGCAATCCTTTATAATCGGCATTTATTAGATATATCTTTAGTAAATACCAATATCAAGAAACAGAATCTTTCTACATCATCATTTTGTTATGGTCCATGCTAAGCTTCTATATTAAGAAAAACAAACGTGCGTGCTATACAATCACTTTATTTTAGTTATGCTCATCTTTTTTTAGTAACCTAAGCATTAATAAACTTCGCACTGTAAATATAATTATGGTAGACTTTCAATCCAAATTATAAGAGTTTTTTTCGCATTTGTAGCCTAATAATTTACCGTATATAGTGTTCTTACAGTCATGCATTGTTTTTTTTAATCTATTGCAAATTTTGATTAGTTTCGACTCCAAAAACTTTTTCAGACAATATGAACATAATTTTCATTTATTAGTTTTATAGTTTTGACCAGAAAAAGAATTAAGTATTGAAAATATCTGTTTGAATAGATCGAGTTTTATAGAATACACATAAAATAAATTAATTTCTATGATGAATAAAACTAGGAAGTAATATTTGATAGTTCTACTGTGATCATTCATCATTCTAGTAGTCAATCAAAGAAAGAAATTAATTATTCAATAATTATAACTATATCATTCATATAAAGTTATATCGCAAAAAGATTGATCTACACGATTTTTTAATTTGAAATGAATGTAAATAATAGTATAAGAAATTTATGCATTTTGTTAAAAAATAAAAAAAAACATTAAATTATTGGTAGAAGAAGAGAGGNCTTGAAGGTTTTCGTTTGTTCTAATGAAGACCCCTCGTAGACTATTTTTAATTTTGGCTGGTTGACTATGTTTGTGAATACAACAAATTGGGTCTTTTTAACATTAACTGGTTGATGCCACCGAATTGTGTACTCTAGCAATTTTTGTAAATCTTTATTCATTCATTCTTCGATGTTGATTAGTTGGTTCTTGTAGTTACGATATATACTTGGGATGTATATACTACCTAAATCATCTACAACATCGGTCCAACAGAATAGATGACTGTATATGCATATAAATATTGATCTTCATAAGTTTGAAAAGAATAGATCAATGAAAATGAACATGGAATATTCATGCATTGGATTAAATGATTTATCTAATGAAATTCTTATGATTATTTTTCAAAAATTGAACAATATTGACGTATTTTATATTTTTTTGAAGGTGTCAATCAGCGACTAAGTAAAATTATTCATGATCCAATTTTTACAAGTCGTTTGACTTTTATCAAATGGTTATCACAGAATTTTATCAATTTACATTGTTGTGATATTGCACTTAATCGATTTTGTTTACAAATATTACCTGAAATTCAATGGCTTGATCTTGAACCATCATCTATGAAGCATGTTTTACGTTCTGTCAATTATCCTAATTTAGATAGTCTTGCTTGGTCTTTATAATATGGATGAAAAATCAGTTCGATCTCTTTTTACAGGTAAGATATTTCAATTGAATTATTTTTATTCTAAACAAATGAAATATATATTAAAGATTAGAGCATTGAATATATTATTATTATTTACATATTATACATGTTTAGATGAAACTCTTTCATTTGTTATTTTCAAAAATCAGATAACGACATTTTGTATTACAATTAATTATAATCATAATAATGATGATTATGGAAACATGATATTTTGTCAGTGGCAAACATATATGATTACGTCTTCATTGTTTTTACCTGTCTGATTACGTTTGTATTATGTGAATCATCGTATAAAAATCGTGTTCGATTACATTTTGATGATCCGTTACTTCCTAATTTTCGTTCTTCAACTCTTTTGAAATTGAATATTAGTCTACAATGTTTTGATGATTGTCTTTATCTTCTCGATGGTCGTTTTAATCAACTTCATACGCTCTATGTTGATTTGTTTGATATTTATCGTCCAGATGAAATTGAAAATCAAGTTAGTTTGAGAAGAAAAACTTTTATATTGTCAAATAATAAAACATTTTACTTTGTAGGATGATTTCCCAACTCTAAAGTGTTTTTCTCTTTCCTGTAAGCGCAAAGCATATGATTACAATGAAACAATTCTCCCATTTCTCTATCGAATGTCAAATCTAGAAGAATTTGATTTGTGTCTTACAGACTATGTTAATAAAACATTTATTGATAGAAACCATTTGAAGACAAAGATTATGAATCATATGGCACGATTAAATCAATTTACATTTTTTATTAACTCATTCATGTATTTTTCTAATGAAATGAATTTTTCATCAACAGAAGATATTCAACGTACATTGATTGACTTTCCAAATAATAATATAATTTATTATGTTGACTATTTTCCAGACGTAAAATGAAGTCAATGTCATATTTACTCATATCCATCTCTAATGCAATATTATAACGTTATTACAAATAATTTTTCAGGTGGATTATTCGAATATGTTCGTGTCGCGTCATTATTTGATGAACATCCTTTTGAATATAAATTTTTTCTGCGAATTCTTCAATCATTTCCATTTATCGAAAAATTATGTTTGACTTTATCGTAAATCACAAAATCGAAAACAATTTTATGAATCAAACAATGATAATCGAAATATATCTCTGATTAAATATTTTTTTCTTAATGAACTTACTATTATCAATGTTTATAATGATCATATAGAACAATTTCTATTTCATATTAAAACTTTTCTACAAAATAATATTCATCATCATATCAATTATAAATCTTGACAACGAGTAATACACTATTTCACAAGAGATGCTACACGAATTAATTGTGCTAAAATATGTAAATTAACTTTATACCGTCAAGCAAAACGTTCCAATTCTTTAGAAGAATATTTTCCTTATGCAAAAATTTGTTATCCAAAAATGTGTTGAAAAACAAAAAAAAATACAATAAAATAAGAGAAAAGTATTTTGCTTATTGTTGTAAGAAAATAAAAACTTTATAGAGATGAAAATGATCATGTGTGATTAGTAATCTATGAAATAAATTAATTTTGTTTAAACATATGTATATTATATAGTAGATTGAAACATAAGTTCTGCAATTTTTTCTTGTTCAGCACCAATTCGACAATTGTTCAATCTCACGTTTTTATATCGAGAATTCAAGCATATGACAACTAGAATAATTTGATAAACTGTTTTTTTTTTCTTTTGAACATTAATTTGATCTACATATAAATAAAAAAATACTTTTTTCATTATCATTCAATTGAACATCATGAACTAAGCAATAAAATATAAATGTGACAAGTTATTCAAAGAACTTCCCTTTGTGAGTAGTTTTTTTTTCGATCGATTACGAAGCCTTCAAATAAAATTGATTTGTCTATTAACAGAAATTTATGCATACAAAAGACGACTCGAGCAAATAGTAGAAGACAATCATCAAAAAAAAAAAGAAATCCATTTTTATTATTTCTTTTGCTATAATGCCTATTCCAATTGTAAAAAGACTTTTATCATTATGTAGAGCAATACTAATTAGTAAGTTATAAAAACATAAGTTAATGATCTGTTTTATTAGAAATGTTTATTTGTACATCAAAAAAAGAAAAAGATAAATATTAAAATGTAATTTTAATTTGATTAGATAAGCATAAGATAAGAAGCATATATTTTTGTTAGACATTATTTTTAAAAAAAGTGTGAATACTGGTGCAATAAGAATAAATTTGTCTTTTTGAAAATCATTTTAGTCGATTATAAACTGTGTGTTGTCAATACGCTTGGTAAATATTTTTCTGTTAATTGTAACATGGCTTGTGGTAACCAATGAATACCACTATCAGGTGAATAATCAAATGGTTGTTCAACAGAAAAAAGTTTTGCCAAATGATACCACCAACGAAGTGGTGCTAACATATAATGAGCCAAATCATGGCTAATTACACTGGAATAACATGATGCAGCCATACCATTAACAATTAATGTACCTTATTTAAAAGAAATTAAACAAATTTTTCGTTTTATTTTCAATAAAAAAAAAAACAAATTACCTTGACCAGTCATTGGTGTAAAATAACCAACTTTATACTCTTCAGTAACATTTCGAACAGTAACTGGTTGAAGTTGACCATGATGATGAATAAAAACAATATCATGTGCTTTGATTTTATTAGCTGGTAGAAAACGATCATTATGATTAACGGCAATAAAATGATTTCCTGTTAAACTTAAACGATGACCAGTGTCAGTTTCAATCGAATAAAATAAAGCTAAACAATAAAACCAAATTAAAATATAATTAAAATTAAAATAGAAAAAAAAAAAGATTCTAACCAGGTCGATTTGGTTGACTATCAAGCATCATAATAACTTCATCTTCGACAATTTGTTGTTTGGAATTCATAACAAGTACACGATCACCTGGTCGAAGATCGCGTAAAACTTTTATTTCACCATTTGCCATTGAAACATGACCGTCACCCGAAAAACATTTTGGATTACCTAAGAATGAAATAAAATTATCTATTAAAAACAATGATCAATCTTACGACGAAGTGGACATTCATCAGGTTCTTGAACACCCGGATTAACACAACACCATTGAGCTAAATTTTGTAATTCAGTCAAACCACCTTGAGCTGCCTAAATATGCGATAATGACAAATACTTTCAGTTAAAACGATCTTTTTATTTTTTTACCCATCCACCAATACAATTTCTTGTTTTAGTTTTAAAACATTCCATATATCGTTCAGCTAAATTACAAAATAATTTTAAATTGCCTTTTGCTGCTTGTATTATAGCTTGAACATCAAGTTGAGCACATTCAGCTAATTGTACTGGATCTTCTTCAACTGGACATGGTACTTGTCCAAATGATAATTGAGATATTAAAACAATAAATGCGCATATGAATACAAACCTTTGATTTAAATTCATTCAATACTTTTAAACAAAAAAAAAAGAATCAATCAATCATACTTACAAATTGATAATAGAAGACATTGTGTCCTTCTGATATTGAATGAAAGAATCAAATGCGGCACACGCTCAAATGATGAATTGAAAAATGAATGGATGATCTTCTTTCTTCTTTCTTTTTCTTCTTTTTCTCCACCTCTGCTCAGTCAATAAATATACAAAAAAAGGTATCAATCTAATATAAATTATTATTATTACTCAATCCATCTAATGTCTATATTTGATTATTGATTGTTATAAAGAAAAAAAGATAATCGAAACACTACTTCAATATTATCCCTCCTCTTCGAAATCATTTTTTTCAATTATCTGTTAATACAAAATCTTCTTTTAAGATATATCTAGATAATAAAATAACATCATGCTGTTGTATTTCTTTGTTATATTATTGCACTCAATTAAATTTTTCTTTTTTTTTTTACACATTCCTGCTGACAAGATCATAGCTGTTTATAATCCTATTATGTTAGAAAAATCATCATGCTGACAATAGAAAAAAATTTCGTCCTGAAGCGAAAAAAAAACAATCGTTCGTTAGTCATCATGATCATTAATAATCGAGAGATAAAAAATAAATAGACATCATCAAAGAATAGACACAGCAAGATACTAATAAACGATTATGACTGGAACTAATTCATTTTTCGTGTCATAAATATGAAACATAAAATTAACGATGTTTTCGAGAACTATTAGGAGAGATTTTATTGTTTCAACGAATAAAGTTATCAAGAAATATTGTCACATTTTAAATTCAGTTTTCTTTTGCATTCTTGGTAATTTTTAACATAAAATAAGAATGATTGTATTAACCTTTTCAACTAATTCACAATTCAATGCATTAAATATATATTGTTTTAATTCAAATATTACAGTACTTTTCAATAGGTCAACGAAAATTGAGGTTTTCATTACTACTAAGTATTTCTCTCGTCACATTGGCTTCCGGAACACTTGACTTTATCCTAGTATTAAATTTATCAAAATCATATTTCAGTATATATGTGCAGTTTCATTACATGGTTCACACTGAAGCAGTCAAAAATATAATGGATAAAATAAAATAAAATATTTGATACATCAGTTTGTAAAGAAAAATCGATGATTGAAAGCAGATCAGTGACATCATCTCATCATTTGAATAAACTCGAAGTAAATTAGTCTCATTGTGATCATTAAATTAGTTTCTCTTGGCCTAAATTTCAATATCGAATTCCATTAAACTAACTCTTTAACTGTCCTTGATCACTGGAGTGATCGTTCATGGAGAGATTGTAGAAAATAAACGAACCATAGAATTAAACGAGGATATCAATATTCTATTCCAATGTTTGCTTCGTCAGCAACCTTTTTAGAATCGCTTTGAAGAGTAGAGGATTAAGTCATATCTAGAGATATGGGCATTATCTTTTTAATACTCAACCCTGAATGAACTCGGCTATCTCATACCTGGCACCCGACTGAAGATAACTGACATTCAGTGGATAGTTTCAGTCACAGTATGTTTTCAAACTTTTATTTCATATGAAAAAGTATACTATTTAATTTCATCCATAAACAACAAAAAAAGAAGAAATTATCTCAAATTCCACAAAAAAGCAAGTGATTCAAGATTCACTTGATACCTTTTTAATTATAAAATCTATTCGATTTCACTAAGTATATTTTTGCTTGTTGGTGATGTTACTAAAATGGAAAGCAATATTGGTAGCAAACATTGTAATTATGGATGTAAAGATGAATGCTTTTTCCGTCACGATAATTGCATGTTCATCTTTTTAACGATTCATTTTCCTTTCCATGTATTCAGTTACTTTGTCATATGGTTCATCATCATCTGTCGACGAGTTTTCACTAAAAACGAATTCTTTTAATAAAATAATATCACTTTCTACTTCTGTAACTTGTTTTCAAGTACAATAGATTATTCAGTCATGATCGAACCGGTTTTTTACTCCTACATCTTTATATAAATAGCAGTTTGCAAAAGTAAAGATGTTTTGAAAGGCCAAGATCTCATTAATTGTTGAGTAGAATCCTAAATATGAGATCATACTTAAGACTCGACCCGATTGCAGGGCATTAATCTTGGTTCAGTCCAGGTTTTAACTCTAGTAAATCTGGTCTAGTTCTGATTCTAGTCACTTATTTTCTAATGATTTCGATCCTCTCTTGAATTATGTTCTCATTGACTATGGTTTAATAATACACTCATAATCACAGAATGTTTAGTTTCGGTTAGAACAATTATTTTTCTCGTAATTTCGACCTTGATCTTAGTAACTTCTCTTTTGCATAGTTTTGCACATCTGTAATCATATCACATACTCAAGAAGTTTGAAATAAGTTTACATTCTGCATCTCAAATTTCTCAAACATGTGGCTCTATTATATCATCAGTTATTCAAACCTTATTTTCTTAAAACCTTTTCCGCTTGATCAATATATACATTTACCATATTGATTCAATTGTATAGAAAGAACTATATAATATATCTCTTAAAAGATGTTTATCTTAGATTTCGTTCAAAAAAAAAATTCAAACATCTAGATTTTTTTCATTCGACAAAAAAAAACACTAATATCGTGTTTGTTATCTATAGACGATCTCCTTGTTGGACCCATTCATTGGTCAGTGAGAAGAGAACGAGAGCATGCAAAATGATCTACATACAATACAGACAAAAGGAAACGAAAAGAACAGAGAGAGGTTTACACGATAATAGACAAGAAAGGAAAAGGAAGTCGAGCACAAAGAAGAAAAGATCTAATCTTGTTTCTTTAACAGACACACATTAAATTTTGTTTAAACCGCACACTCGTGTTCACAATACAATTGGACACAGAGAAAAAAAAATTATTTCAGATAGATAGGAAAAAGACAAAAAAGTAAACCTTATTTCATTATATAAGGAAGAGAAAAGAGGTTTATTTCAAGGAAGCGCTGCGGTATTAAAGGTATACTGTCAAAGTAGCCAAAGACAGACAGAGACAAAAAAAAAATTTCGAGAGCTAAAAACGCGCGCGCAAATAATCTATCGTTTGAGGAGTCGTCAATCAAATACAGAGGAAAACACATAACATATAGATATAGAAGAACAACATATTCAATGAGAAATATATTTAGAGAATGTATAGAGAAAAAGAAAATGCAAACACTCACACACACACACACATATCATATTTCATAGAGAAAATTTACGAAAAAAGTAAAGAAAGATTTGTTCTTATTGCTTTTTTTTATTCTCAAGAAAAATCCATTTGATTTGTTAGTGACGTACTCGTAAAACATAACGATAGACTTGAACGAAGTGTTGTTGTACGTGTACGTCTACTATTATTTTGAATAGCATAACTAATATTTGATACATCTTCTCTTAAACAAGTAAATTTTTCTGATTGTTTTGAAAATGATCGAAATTGTCGACATTGTTCTTGAAATTTTTCATCTAACATTGTACGATAAAAATTTGGTTTACAGAATTCCTATTTAAAATAATAATTAAATCAAATATAAAAAAACACATGGAACAAAATCTTACAGTTGAATATTCAAATAATGCTTTATAACCACCTTCTAATAAATATAATTCTGGATAATGTAGAGATGGATAATTATTTGCATGAATATTTCGATCTTCAGATCGCATATAACGTAAACTGCATATATATTTGTTTATTGAATATTTAATTGACATACAGAATTTTAAAAAAAACTTACAGTGATGGTGCGCGTTCTGATGAAAATTCACAATGAAATACAAAAACAATTCGTTTTGTTGGTTCCCTTAGTTTAATTGGCGATCGAAAATATTCTTGATGAATTTGCGGTCTTGTAAAGAAATTTTTTGCTGTTGATATATGGCCTCCATCGTATTCGTACGGATAGCGACAATCGATTACATGCAATTCTGCAATCTCAGATGAGTATTTACCTCGAAGAAGATCGATCATCTATACATATAGAAGAAAATGTAAAACTTGAAAATTCGTTCTATAGGGAAATTCAGATTTTTTAATAACTAAAGTTAAAACATATTTTTTTCCGGAGTATTGAATTTTAATGAGAGATTCTATAGTTCATAGACTTTTTAAGCTTCGCTATTGAAGCTCTGCATGAACTCAACTAAATTCTTTGCTGAAAATTCAGTTTAGCATTTCAATGTTAGGTTTTGTTCTCTGATATTTGCTGTACAAACTGATAAAGTTTACAACAATGGGTAATAGAAGGCATCCGGACACGAATCAAAGTCAAAATTAAATTTAACTTCGACTTTCTTCTATATCTATAGGCCTTGATAAGACATCGTTGAAACTTCCAAGATTCATTGATTTGTACAGTAAATAACAGAGAAGAAAACCCACTATTCAAAAAAATTCATATGCTAAAACTGAATTTTCAGAAAACTTAATTGACTCCGTGCACGACTCTGTTCCATATTATTCTCTAGCTCTTTCTATTTTCGAATCGCTAAAATAGACAGAAATATGCTGTTTAACTCTTACAAGAACTACTTTGGTGAACTTTTTTTAGGTATTCTATAGGGAATTATTTGACCTGTTTTTCTTATTTTAGTTGTAGAGAATGGGCGTTTATTTTAATGATTTATGTTGCACTTAAAACTTTGATGAAATTTTACTTTCGATCAGATAAAACCTCCTGGCCTAAAAGTACTCCTCTTTTGTCGTCATTATGAGTTCTCGGAGAAGTTGTAGCCGATCCACCAGGGAATTTTTACTACGGATAGACCACGTAAAATAAGATCCGTGCTTACGGATAAAAATTTTAAACAAGATTTTCATGGTTTTCTATAGAATTACATCGGGTCCGCTTATGACCTCCTCCCTTCCCCAACGTCTAACTTTGCTCAATTGAGTTAAAGATTATTCAGGTTTTTTCAAGACTTCCTTTCTTCTTTTTTTCGTAAGATAAATACATACAAGTTCAGATTCTAAAT